AGGTCTTCATCTCACAGCACTCACCAGGGGCACTGGACAGTTACACTGGGGTTGGTCTGAGCTGCCTGGGGTTGAGTTAATCTGGCTGCTGCTGCTGGGTGACAGGTACCACCAGGACAAAGAGGGACTGCAAACAAGCACACTGCACATAGGGCACATGTCCCCCTGTGCCCCCTGTGTGCCCGATCCTCTCTCAGGGGTGTCACACTGGAGGGTTCATCCCCTCTCCTTTCATCCGGGCCCTCTGTCATCAGCCTGGTGACAGGGGCCTGGCAGTCCCCTCAAGGCAGGGGACAGGTCTCCTCATGTGTCCTAATTGCCAGCTCTGACATTGTGTCCACGGGGAAATGTGTCTGTCCTGGAGCAGCTCCAGCTGGACAGGGATTCTTCTCTGCTGACCCCGTGCCTGGAGGGACTGGCTTTGATCTCAGGCACTGTGAGCTCCAAAGGCCAGTTCTGATGGCACCTGTCAATTTGCAAAGGCCCCAGGAATGTTTTAGGCAGGAATTTCCCAAGCAGGAACCTACATGTAGGGTTGGAATCAGGATGGAAGGAATAATCTGAAAGGAGCCCTTGCTTAGAGCCAGCTGCGTGTGGGAGCGTGATGGGCACCGCGGTGGGGAGCGCGAGGAGGGAGCAGCAGAGTCCCCTTCGCGGGCTGGTGTCTGTAATTGGCACCAGCTGTGCCCAGGGGCTGGTTATTAATTAGCATCCCACATACATATTCATCCCACCCCTGGAACGAAGCGGGATACCCGCGGTGCCGCTCAGGGGGTTGGATGCTCCTGCGCGCTGACACCCCTTCCCGAGCAGCACATCCAGCAGATACATCCAGCAGCACATCCAGCAGACACATCCAGCAGCACATCGAGCACAGCATGCAGCCAGGCTGGGCTGAGCCCCCTGGCGTGTGCCTGAGCATCGCGTCCAGTGAGTCCTGTCTCGTGGCTTTTCCTCTCCGTACTGCGGTGAATGTGCTAAATGGTGTTTTCCAGGGAGTGATTCCTTCCGTGCGTGCTGTTTCTGCAAGGTTTCTGTCTAATAACGGGCTGCAGACACCAAACTGATGTGCATGTTTCGTGGTGGGAACTGAAGCATAGGAAGGAGAATGTGAATGTCGATGTTTCTTGTGATTTGTGAAGATTTTGTTTAGGTTGTTTGGGTGGTTTTTTTCTGGAAAACAAACCATTAGTGAAATGCTGTGTTTTGTGTCTTCTCCAGTTTCTTTGTTCCTCCCAGTTTCATGTTTTGCCTTTGTTGCAATGTGTCTTTGTTTTCATGTGAATAGGGATCAGTTACCCAATATTCTGCGCGTTGTAAACAAATAATCACTTGATGAAGTGTTTCCTTTTCATCTGTATGTCCATCCCTTGTTAGGCTTTTAGCAGCAGCACCTCAGGTGCTTGGGAGGCATTAGCTCTTTGTTTCATTCAAAGTTAGCAGGCGCTGCCTGTGTGGGCACTGTTGGAAGCAGCTCTAGTTCATGGCACCCAAAATGCGTTTGATTTGCTCCGGCTTACTGAGAGATCTCGATTCTGATTGACGTCGAAGTACAGTTTCCCTGCAGGTCTTGATGACTTGTCCCACGCTGTCGGTTCTGGGCTGGCTCTTCCCCGGGGCCATTGGGATCTCTCTGGGCCTGTGGCTCAGTGTTTGCTCCCTGTGGCTATTGAAGGGCCGGACGCCCTGGGCAGCCTCACCCCGCAGGGCACTCCCCACTGGAACTGGGACGTGGAGCCTCCCACTGTGGGCACACTGGGGTGATGAGCTGAAAATGCTCCTCAGCTGGTGCCTCTGCAGCCTCCTCGCTGTGCCCCAGAGGGATGTCACACTCCACCCCCTGTGTCCTCTCCCACAGAGTCTCTTTCCCAGGTCCAAGGTGGAATCCTCCCTCCACCCAAACACACCTGAGCGAAGCAGTTTCCTGCTACCTGTGTGAGCTGCCAGCACCTGCTTTTCCCCATGTTGGCACTTCCTGGACACAAAGTCCTTGGAATGACTGTTGATTCCCAATGTCATTTTTCTCCAGGTTTACAGACAGACCAGAGATAAAAGTATTACCACAGTTCTCACAAGGCAGAATGTTCCTGTTTGCAGCAGGACAGGTTAAAAACTGATCATGGAAATTGAGTATCTAAAGCCTCAGATACTTATGCCAAAATCCTGTGTTTCTGATGTGTGGAAGCAGATCACAGAGAGCTGAGGGGATGTGTGCAATTTCTTTTGTTCCATAGGATCAGTGTCTGTAACACATGTGGGGTGTGAGTGCAATTAATGCTTTCTGTCCATGTGAATGTGTGTGATCCAGCAGGAAGAGCAGAGCTCCTGCCGCAGAGCTGTGCGGCAGTGCAGGCACCGAGGGCAGTTTGGGCTGGGATTAGTGATTGCCCATACCCAGGCAGAGCCCAACCACCCTTGGGAGCTCTCACCAGGCTCCAGGGGTCGGATCCTGGCTAATCCCAACCATCCTTGGGAGCTCTCACCAGGCTCCAGGGGTCAGATCCTGGCTGATCCCATGGGATGTGCACAGCTCCTCTGCACAGGCAAACAGGAAATGAGAGAATTAAGAGGTCACTGGACATTTGTCATTCAAGCACATAATGGTTTTGCACAATGTTTATGATATGTAAGCAAAACTTCCCATGGAAAGAGGATAATTCAATTCCTCACATGGGAGATTGTGGGGGGGAGGGAGGAATTAAAAATTGATATTCCTTCTAGAGTTTGGAAATTAAAAAGGATGCTTAACTTTTAATATTTTTCTTTCAAAATTGTGAATCCAAATTTTCCAACTCTGACATCCAGGCAAAAATGCTGCAAAATCATTGAAATATTAGAGTCAACCAATGAAACAGTGATGTGAATGTTCAGTTTTAATTGTTTTAAGGTATTCTGCAGTAATTCGTTCACTTTTGTGACGTGTTGCTCGTAGATTTCTGCCAGTGGCTTAAAGCAGTTCCCTCCGAGTGGCCCCGGAGAAGGGTGACACTCCTGCCCGGTGTTCTCAGCCCGGGCAGTGCCGCTGTATTCCCCCCCGGAGGTGCTGAGCCGCTGCCGCCTGAGTGACTGTGTTCTGTTCTCCTTGTAGATGGAGGAGATTAAGTTTAAAGACAGAGCAGTCTTCGTGCTGGAGAGAGAGTTAGGGGTGCAAGCCGGGCATGCTCAGAGACTACAGCTCCAAAAGGAGGCTTTAGATGAACAACTGTCCCAGCTCAAAGAGTCTGACCGGCATCTGAGCAGCCCCAAGCGGGAACTTCCTTATGCAAGTGGTGCAGGAGACGCTTCAGAGCAATCGGGAAGCCCCGTAAGCACTTTCACGTGGTTTCACCTAAACGAGCACCAAGTGACAGAATCTTGATGAGTGCACCCTGAGCCAGAGCTCTCCCCTGGCCGTGCGGGGCAGCCCCGAGGCGCCTGTTTGCACCAGAGCCTTGAGATTTCCAACCAGACCTCGCCACGGGAGAGCTCTTGCTTTCTGTCATTTCGTTTCCTGGTTGGTTTGGTTCAGTTTTGTCAGCAGGGTGAACTTTTCCTGTTCTCTCTCTTCCTTTCCTCACTGTTCCATGCTCAGCCACCTGCCTTAGTTTGACAGTTTGACACGATTCTGCCAACAAACGATGCAAATGCATTTCTCACCCAGTGATGTATGTGTGTGAGCTCTGGGAGCTGCTAGCAGTGGGGCTGGGGAGCAGATGTACAAGGCCAGTTACAGAGGGGATGGGAAGGCACGGGAAGCTCTCGGCCGCCTGGGATACTGCTGCTGGCTCCGCTCTCCTGAGCTGAGTCCTCCTGCTGCCTGTGGGCACAAAGCCAATCAAACACTCCCAGCCTCTTCTCTCCCACCTCTTTGCTGCAATGCCCAGAACATTCAATTTCAGTCCACAATGTGGCACCTTTCTGCTTTGGCGTTGCCTTGCCCAGCTAACCCCCTGGGGGAACTGACCTCGTACCTCTGACTGTGCAGGTTGTCCTCATCGCTAATCCTCATCAAGATTTCTTTTGCAGCAGCCTTGGTTTTCTCAGTGCAAGTGTAAAAATTCTACATGAGCAAACCAATCTGTTTTATTCTTTGGCCCAAGCCTCTCCTGCACCTGTTGAATGAGGAACCCTAGACCTCCCAAAAGTGCCACCAGCACTGTGGACACTAATTTGTCTCTTTCTAGTTGTACTCAACTTCTGCCAAAGACCAGAATAAGTCCTAGAGAAGGAGGAAAGTCTGTCACGTTTGTCGATAGCTGTAACTTCTCTCTGATTCTGAATGAGAACATGTGTACCTGTATCTCTAGTCACCTCTGATTTGATTTAAGCATGTTCACTCAGACAAAGTGCTGCCCCTGGGGCTTTGCCTGAAGAAGCCCATAAGGGGCACAGCCTGGTGGCAGAAGAGCCTCTGCTGTGGCACAATTGTATGGACCTTCCCCATTTGTACTCCAGTAATTTTACTGTAATTTTCTTACGGCCAAGTCCTCAGAGTGGGTGAAGTGTCTCAAGCTCTCAGTTCAACAGTGGCACCATTGGAACATGGCCCTCAGCTCGGAGGTTTTCCCTTCTGTTTCCAAGTTTGCCATTTGTGCCTCTGTATTTGCATATGCATAGACATATACATATACATACTTTGCATTTGCATTCTTTGTTACATTTCCACTCCTGCCTTTCCATCAGTCTCATCCTGCAGCTTTCCATGGTCACTTGGGTTCCATGGGTCACATGCTGCCCGAGAGCCCTTCAGAATGTTTGGAGCTGGGATAAGCCAGAGGTTGAGCTGTGACAGTGTGCTGTTGCCTGGGCACTTAGGGGCAGCTATTTGCAGTTGATCTTTGTTTTAGGAACAGCAGTTGGATGAAAAGGATGCACGGCGCTTCCAGCTGAAAATCGCGGAGCTCAGCGGCATCATCCGCAAGCTGGAGGACAGGAACGCGCTGCTCTCGGAGGAGAGGAACGAGCTGGTGAGTCAGCAGTGCCCAGGCCTTATGGGCAAGCTGATGGGCCATGGCTTGGCCCCAGAATGCCAACACGGTTTCACCTGTGCTGCTTGGAACTCCTGGTGGAGGTGGCTGCTCTTCCTCCTCCTCAGCTCTGTGTTCGGGGCTGTGCCACCACACGCTGCTCTTTGCTTCTGTGGCAGTCGCTCCTCTTTGCTTGTGTGGCTGTGGATATTTAAGGTGACACTAGCTGCAGTTAATTTTGTTTCTTTCTGAAAGCAAATAGAGTAATTAATAAGCACATGGAACACATTTGTGTGGAATGAAATGGAATGGAATGCATTCATCAATAGATACATGGGACACTTGTTGCATGGGTTGAATATCTCATGGAGGAGGAATGATGCCTTCCCAATGGCAAATGGAAAAAGAAATACCCAGAGAATGTGGTCAGCTCTGCTTTGCACCAGGAGAAAATGCTGCTAGTGTGACAGATAAAGGAAATGATCAATGCATTTGCTGCCAAAGCTCTAGAGTGTTCATTCTCTCCTTACCCCCAGCTGAAACGCCTCCGGGAAGCAGAGAGTCAGTACAAGCCCATTCTGGACAAAAACAAACGCCTGAGCAGGAAGAATGAGGAGCTGTCACATGCCTTACGCCGGATGGAGAACAAGCTGAAGTTCGTGACGCAGGAAAACATCGCGATGGTGAGTGTCTGTGCTCCGGGAGGGCTCAGCTCACCCCATACCTGGAGGTCCCAGAGGACACTGTCCCTGCTCTGGGGCTTGCTGAGACTTCCAGTGCTGTGCTGTGGTTCATGGGCGTGTTTGGTTTTATATAAACAAAAACACAGTCTAGATGTGTTTTAGCCTTGAGAACAAGCAGCTCTGAAGGAAAGGAATTGTGTGATTTGTATGTGTTGATAAGGCCACTGCTCCCTCAGGAGCTGCTCAGCTTCCATATGGGCACACAGCTCCCTACTTGCTTGCTGAGACTTCCAGTGCTGTGCTGTGGTTCATGGGCGTGTTTGGTTTTATATAAACAAAAACACAGTCTAGATGTGTTTTAGCCTTGAGAACAAGCAGCTCTGAAGGAAAGGAATTGTGTGATTTGTATGTGTTGATAAGGCCACTGCTCCCTCAGGAGCTGCTCAGCTTCCATATGGGCACACAGCTCCCTACTTCATCCCTGGGAGTGCTCCTGGCCAGGTTGGATCTGGAGCAGCGCAGCCTGGGCTCGTGGGAGGTGTCCCTGCCCCTGCAGGGGTGGGACTGGATGGGCTTTAAGGTGCCTTCCAACCCAAACCAGTCTGGGGTTCTCTGATTCACCTTTGACTTCCCTGCAAGAATCACCTTGTAATCCCTGGGGGACCTGTACTGTGACTCTGCCCTTTTTTCCAGCCGGAGGATCAGGGCCACGTGGCATGTTTGCAGCCCAGCTGTGAGGCTCAGCAAGGGGAGCAGGAGAGCTGCCAGAACAGCCATTAGAGAGATGCATCACACACTGTAAAGGGAAGGGTTAGACATGTCCTTTGGCAAAGCCTCCTGGTCATTCCCCCTTGTGCCCTGTGGGTTTTGGTTTTCAGAGGCAGAGAACAGGAGCCATCAGGAGACCAAGCTCCTTAAATGACCTTGACCACAGCCAGGAAGAGAGAGAAGTAGATTTCCTGAGACTGCAAGTTATTGAGCAGCAAAACCTCATTGATGAACTCTCCAAGGTAAGATGTTCACTGCTGCTCTCACAGCCAAGGCCAGAACAGAGGAGAAGCCTAGGCTAGGGCTGCTGGGAGTTCTGGGAGATGCTGGTCAGTGGGGCCTGGCAGCATTTCTGTGCTTAGTGTGATTGAACTGGGTATAAGTGATCTGGTGTCTGGAAAAACTCTTTGAGTATGCATTGCACTGGCATGCCTGACCTATTGCAGCACATCCAGAGCTGCTGGTGGCTGGATCCAGCACCTGTGAGGGGCAGTGTCCAGACTCCCTCAGCTGGAGGCAACACTGGGCTAAAGACTGCTGTGTACAGGGCTGTCAGCCCTGGGTTTGGGGTTTGTTTCTTGTTTGAGCCTGTCCGCTTGCTGACATGATCTCATTCTGTTTCCCCAGACCCTGGAGACTGCTGGCTACGTCAAGAGTGTCCTGGTAAGAGTGACATGAACTTCATCCCCATCTTTGTGTGCTCTAAGTTGCTGTTCATGGACAGCAGACAGGGAATAGCCATATTTAATCTCCCTCCCATTCCCATTTTGCACTGAGCTGACACACTGTTCTTCTCAGCATAGATGTTGTATCAGCAGTTGCTCTCCAGAGGAAAACATATTGAGAGTGGAGAGGAAAGCTTTAATCTCACCACCTGCCCTGATGGAGAGCAAGTGTCCCTGTCTCTGGCACAGCTCTGCCACCTTGGAATTGCACGTTAAGAGACTGGTTAGCACTGGCTGTGTGTCACCACCCCGGGCTGTGCTCAGTCCCTGCCCCTGCAGACTCATCCCTCTCTTGTGGTCAGCAGGGACTTGGTGGGGTTGAGGTGCTAATAGGTATGGATGGGATGTGTGCTGTCCTGTTCCAACACCAAGCAAAGAGTGTTCGATTTTCCTCTGCCGCTGCTGCTGCCACTTGGATTGGCCTTGGGGCTGCTGACACTGCCACATTCAGTGTCCCACAATGTCATCACATCCTTGTACCACATGCTTAAAATGAAAGATCTAAGAGTTCTCACTTTAGAACTTCCCTCTCTGCAGTCCTGAGCCTTGCCTGGATTTGCAGCCCAGGTTCCTTCTCAGTACTGTAAATAGTTGACATGACTCCATAAAGAGGAGGAAAGCCTTCCCTGTGAGGTGCTCAGGCACTGGCACTGGTTGCCCAGAGCAGCTGTGGCTGCTCCATCCCTGGGAGTGTTCCAGGCCAGGCTGGATGGGGCTTGGAGCACCCTGGGCTGGTGGGAGGTGTCCCTGCTCATGGCAGGGGGTGGAATTGGATGACCTTTAAGGTCCCTTTCAACCCAAACCACTCTGGGATTCTATGATTCTCCTTCCAAAGTTACTCTCTGCAAGTTAAAATGGAAGGCCGAAATCTAGAAATGTTTTTGCAAATCATCAATTTAAAATATCTTTAGATGTGTGAAATACCATCTTTGGCTTTCAAGCATTGACATTCTATGATTCTATGATTTCTGCTGATGGGAAAATTCTGCTGGCAGCAGTAATGCTCTAACATTTTCCCAGAGGCACTGGGAAGCTGGGAACTGGAGAATGAACTCAGCACTTTTGAGCTCAACTCTAGGAGCCCCTGAATTCTGTGCTGTGAGACTGTTAGGTTGTGTGCACCTTCCAGAGGCACCAACAGCCCCCAGAGCTGAGGGCAGGAGCTGCTCTCTGTTCCTCTGCCTGAGCAGAGAGAGAGCAGGGCCAGGGCATGGGCTGGAGCTGATGATCTTGGGGGTCTCTTCCAACC